TGGCTATTTAGGGCAAGCGAACATTGTAGTAGTTATGGTTGGTAAATTCTCTTCCTGGTGTTCTTCGACTCTTTATGTTCTTTGGGTGCTTTTCAGAAGAGCCCACCACTGTCACTGTTGGCATTTGGCCTAAAAGGATGGGAGCTGATTTGACTTTAAATTTTTGACCCCAGGTGATGGTCAATGCAAGGCATCTTGCCTAGTGGGATATGGCTCTTTTACAGTTTGATTTGCTTTTTGGAACGCAACATATGACCCTTTCCACTACCAGCTAGTATAAAGGTATATATGGTAACCTCCTTCCCTACCTGCATTGTACTACAGGAAGTTGCTGCTGCACATGAGTGCCTGTGAACTTGGTTGAGATGGATGGGGATGTTTGACAGGATCAAGGCTCTAAGAGAATGGGTGATGTAAATGGGGAAAAGGAAAGGACAATTCAGGATCACAATGTGCTATGGCGGGTCTCTCATTGACCAAGGGGTTAGCATCACGTTACTGGAAGCCGATTGGAAGGAGAAGGACATCCAAAAAATGGTGTGAAGGTGCCAAAGATAAATAGAGCCTTAACAAGGCTAATAGTGGTTTGAAAGTATTTGAAGAGGGTGTCATATTTATAAGGGCCTTCAGAAACTGGGGAAATGGTTGGGAAAACTGTGTCTTCCAAAATTGAAAAGGCAGTCTATAGAAACTAGACTCATCGAGGAAAAATAACATCCTAAAACTGATTTATCAATGTGGTGCTGATGGAAGTTTGAGAAGTAAGATTAAGTCTAGTGAAGGTGACCAGGGGGACTCTCGAGGACACACAGCTAGAATTCAAACATTTCTGGAAATACCTCCTCAATTGATTGTATTATAACATATTCAGGTACTATTTTCTTAATTGTCAAGATACTATCTATAATATCTAAGAAAAGAATGACAAAGTAAAGGATGGTAAGGCAGGAGGTTGCTATGAGTCAGAACCAACTCAACAGCAATGGGTTTTGGTTTAAGGCAGGAGGAGTTCAATGTGAACAGATGGGTGAGTTGACCAAATAAAATTTTTCTTTTGGTATACAGTTAAAAATAAAAACAAAACCAAAAACAAAAATAAAGCAAAAAACCAACTACTTGTAAAGGTAGTTTAATTGAGAACATTTGACTAGGATAGAAAAGTATGAGTTTTCTTTATTCTTTAAATGTATTAGCTGGGACAATTTGTGTTGGATGATCTGGAACTTTGAACTCATGATTTCAATAAGGAGAAGAGAGAACCATGAAGACTGAGGACAAATGGCTAGAAAATATAGAGGAAAAAAAAAGACTTTCTAAAACCTCTCTAAAGATTAAATATTTAAAAATAAATCCCAAAAAGGTCGAGAAGGGAGAGGGTTGACATGTCGTGGGGTTATTAACCAACGTCATAAAACAATATGTGTACTACAGTTTAATGAGAAACTATTTGTTCTGTAAACCTTCACGTGAAGTAAATTAAAAAAAAAAAAAATCCCATAAGTGGAATGATCTTTTATTTGGTGTGGTGAACTCCCCATAAAAACCAAAACCAAACCTGTTGCCGTCAAGTCGATTTCGACTCATAGCAACTGCCCTATAGGGTTTCCAAGGAGCAGCTGGTGGATTCGAACTGCAGACCTTTTGGTTAGTAGCTGAGTACTTTAACCACTGCACAACCAGGGCTCCAAACTTCCCATTGCTGGATGAAATTTAGAGGGAACTGAAAGAAATATCATGGAGGCAATTTTTGGAATGGATGGTGTTATGGATTGAATTGTGTCCCCCCAAAATATGTGTTGAAATCCTAACCCTTAAACCTGTGGATGTAATCCTGTTTGGGAATAGGGTTTTCTTTGTTATGCTTATGAGACCGTATTAGTCTACGGTGTGTCCTAAATGTAATCACTTCTTAGTAAAAAGAGCAGATTAGACACAGAAGCAAGCTCATACTAGGGAAGCCAGATTCCATGTGAGGACCTCTATAAGCCAAGGAATCGAGCAACACTGGGCTATGGACAAAGAAGGAATCAATATGGCCCAGACCTGATTTAGACTTTTAGCCTCCAAAACAGTGAGAAAGTAAATTTCTGTTCTTCAAAGTTACCCACTTGTGGTACTTGTGTTCCAGTAGCACTAGCAAACTAAGACAGATGTAGATTTAGAACCTTCATGCCCGTTTTGATTCTAAGAATATGAGTTAAGGATTGTCCATTAGTTCTGGTTTAAATCCTGATAGAAATGTGGAAAACAAAACAAAAACTAGATATTCCAAACCCAAAGAGAGTAAAACATAATCTTTTTTTTTTAAGATTTATCAAGGTTTATCTAGTGCTGAATAGGGAGATTTGGGGAAAGAGTGTTTAATTCTCAGACATCCCAAGTATTTTTCACCCCTTGCATTTCATTAATTAAGGAATGAAATTAACACATTTAATATTGCAAGAAACGTGAATCAAGTGCTACATTGCCAGGGCCAATGCTCTGTACCGTGAAAGGCTGGAGTGTGTTTGTAGATGATCAAATACCCTGAATAAATAGAAATAGTCCAGGGTGACAAATCTGGCTCATCTAAGGTTCATCATTAAATGAGCAGTAGGTGGATATGGATAGTCTTGGTGGTGGGTTGTTACCGTTAGTTACCACTGAGTTGATTCTGACTCATGACAACCTGTGTGCAGAGTAGAACTGCTTCATAGGGTTTTCGAGGCTGTGCTCTTTCAGAACTAGATCACTAGCCCTGTCTTCGAGGCAAATACATATAACAAAACATACGCCAACTCAACAATTTCTACATGTACAATTCAGTGACATGGATTAGATTTTTCAAGATGTGCAACCATTCTTGCTATCTTTTCCCAAATCAATCCAATACCGTTAACATAAACTCAGTGCCTTCCAAACAAAAACTCCCCTTCCCCACCCCCTAGCCCTGGTAACCACTATCTCTGTATTTGCTTATTTCATGTAAGTGAGTTCATACATTATTTGTCCTTTTGCGACTGACTTATTCTGTTGGTGTGACGTTTCCAAGGTTCATCCATGTTGTGGCATGTGCCACCTCTATTTTAAAAACAAAGGAAACTGAAGGTTAAAGAGGGTCAGTAATTTGCCCAAATTCACATACTCAGCGCGTGCAGGCTTAGATTTCTAATTGACACTCACTTGACTCCAGAACCCAAATGTTTAACACTAAAAAAAAAAAAAAGGTTTCTTTTTATAATATGCCACTGGATTATAAATTGGCTTTGGATAGATTCATGCCACACCTCACTCTGAAAACCCAACATCCTCATTCCTCTCATTTCCCTTTACTTTGAGAATTTAATTGTCTGCCTGCAGCAAAATGCCACAGTTAAAGAGTCTCATGAAAACTAAACCAAAGGGGAAGAACAGTCATAAGGTGTATTGATTTTTCTTTTTTTTTTTTTGACTTTTGCTTTGTTTTTTAGGTCCAGTTTGACTTTCTTTTAGCATGTGGTTAGATTTGTTTATGTTCTAGTGAGGTCTTAAAAATCACTTTTAGGGCGGGGCTATGTTGAAGGATCTTGGACTATAAATTTCTAGTTCTACCTTGTGACATTTACTTGTTTCTTTCTTCATACTCTGCCTCAGTTTTTTCATTTGGTAAAAATAAGTTCTTCTAGAAATCTTTTATATTAATTAGGAAAATGACACTGGCTGCTTTTGGATGTTCTCATCCATGCATTTTTTTTTAAAATTTTATTGTTGGTGAAAATGTATACAGCAAAACCCACTCCCATTCCACAGTTTCAAGACATAATGATCAATGATATTGGTTATATTCTTCACATCGCATCAACATTCACATTATTTCTCTTCTAGTTGTCTCACTTCCATTTATTTAATCTCCCTAACCCGCAACCTTCTCATCTCTGCTTTAAAATAGCTGTTGACCCTTTGATCAACACAATACTCATGGGTGACAATCTTTACTCTTTGGACTAAACTGTTATTTAGTTTAAAGGTGACTTCAGGGGATATTTCAATTCAAGGTGTGAAGAGCAACTCAGGGCCATAATCTCGGAGACTCCTCCAGTCATCCATGCATTTTTCAATCATACAATACGTATTACTTGAGTATGCTGTGTGTGCCAGGGTGGAGGATACCTAAGAGGAGGGAAAACATACCTCTAACTCAAGGATCTTACGATCTGTGTTTTTTGAAGAACCAAATCAACAACAATGAGCTGCTGTAATAAAAGTAAACACTGGGCATTGTGCAAGCCCAAAGGAGGGGAGCCAGATCACCTCTTTATTCTAGAAGGTCTGCTGAAGCTGTTCCTGCTGGGTAATGGGACCTAGGCTTCTGAGAACCTAGACATGGCATGCCCTAGATCTCAGTAATTGTTCCCATAAAAAAACTAGTTCCTATCGAATGGATTCCAACTCATAGTGACCTGTGTGTGTCAGGGTAGAACTATGCTCCACAGGGTTTTCAATGGCTAATTTTTTTCAGAAGTTGATCGCCAGGCCTTTCTTCTGAGGTCCATCTGGGTGGGCTTGAACCTCCCACCTTTTCTGTTGGCTGAGCGTGTTAACCTTTTGCACTACCCAGGGACTCCTCTTTGTTCCTCTAGGAACACCTAATTATCAATAATAATATGTATATTTTCTGCTGCTGATACACTTGGTCTACAGCAAAATCCTGGCCATCAGCACTTTTTGTTTAATTAATAGTATATATTCCTGGCTCATATAACCTCTTTAAGGTGATACTTATTAGTGGCCTAAGAGCTGAGTGCTACACCTGTAGCCCACCAGGCCAGTGTGATGCACAAACAATCCAATAGCAACTTCTTCCAGGGCTGTTTGGACCACTCACTGACCATTAAAACCTACATAGACATGTGTATAAAGAGGGCCTAAGATATATAGGGAGAGAACACAATGATGAATTACAGTTGGTGAAAGAGGGGTACATTAGATCTAGAACTGACAAATAACTGGAAACCCATTTTATTTTTTTTTAATTACCCTAGAGCTAATGCTGCGTATGTTTCTTATGATTTAACTATGACTGACAGCAGAAATAAGACAACCACTGTCAATTATGTACATGACACATTGTCAAACCCACATGGCTGGATGGCTCTGCTCTTGGACCAAGAGACCTACACATTGCAGTTCGAGACCCTTTGGATCAACAGACCTCTGCAGGTAACCCCAGGCTACATCCCATCCCCTAAGGGTCCTTATCTTTCCTTCTGTTAAATAATGGGTTGTAGGTATTAGCATCTTTTGATGCTGATAAAGAAAACTCTGCAGCAGCATTTTGGCCAGATAATTGTAACCTGATTATGAGATCTGGTTGCTTTTATAGTTTGAAAATTTTAGAATTTGCTTAAGACTCACCTGGAATGCAGAATGGTTCTGCCAGAAAATTTAGTCTTATTGATATAATGAAAAACAGTTCCTAAGCATTCTATAGAATTGCATTCCTAGGGGTTAAGAATCAGTTTACCCCAGAGAGAAGTGTTTGTAGCCTGAGAAAATGTCTTAACAAAAGGCATTTATACATTATATACTGCCACCTTGTGGTCAAATATTAACTTGTAACTGAAGGTCTGTATGAGTCCGGGGGCCTGGGTTGGGTTGAAGGAGTCATATGTTTTGCGGAAGCAAAGATTGGACTAGGCATCAGGAAAATGGATGCAATTTATGCAAAAATAGCAATCTAGTGGATTTCCTCAAGCTTCTTTTCTTTTAACACATTTCTTTCTTCCCCCTCACCATACACATTCCCCCAAAGGGTCATGAGGGCAGTGCTTAGGGAGGTAGAAACTGCTTTTGGTGTGACATAGTTCTGGGGGATTCAAAGCAGAATCTCTTGATTCTCTATTCACAGCTCTCAGAAAGGCTGCATGCTTCTCCTTTCCTTTCTTGAGGTTCTGGTGAGGACATTCTGCGGAATTATCATCAGCTGAAGGCAGAGAGATGGTGATTCTGGAACTAGATGGCCTGAATTTATATCCCGGCCCTGCACTTTCCAGTTTTGGAATGGAGGGCAAGTTATTGAACCTCTGTCTGCCTCAGTCTCTCCTCATCTGTAAAATGAGGCAGTAATAGTGACAATCGCAGGGGGTCTTGTGAGGACTGAATGACTTATAAAAATAAGCATGTACTCAATGCTGTAACATTATTAGCTCTAATAGTTATAAACAGATGACACTCCTATCATTTCCTGCCTCTATAAGTTGTGGAGAAAAACTGGAAAGAAATTCTAGACCTGTTTCTGTCTCTTCTTGCTGTGCGACCTAGGAAAAGTCCATTCACTTATCTGGGCCTTGGTTTTCTCATATGTTAATTGAAGTTGTTAAACAAGAAGATCCTTGGGGCATCTTCCAGTTCCTCAATTCATTCTATGAATTTGTAACTTTAGTGAAGAAATTCCTATGGAGTGGATTTAAATTTAAATTTATAGAGTGGATTTTAATGTAGGTCCATTTCCCACGAAAAAGGTACAGTTGAGTTCTGAAGTGTCCTATTTCTAAACTGCTCCATCAGCATTCTCTCTAGCCCTTTTTGGGGGGCCTTCCTCACTAAATGATCACTATTGTTCTTTTCTCACTCTTCAAGTTCTCGGCGACATTTGATAACTTTGCTCCTGGGAATCACCTCCTGCTGGTGCACACCGACATGCCACCATACCCTGACATCCTCATAAGGTGTGGGAGTCAGGTGGGCCGTCCCCTTTCTTCTCTTCCATTACCTGGTCAGGACCAAAGCTGTGACTGGTTCTTTGATAGTCATTTGAGGCAACTCACCTATCTTGGTAAGTATAACTGGGTAAGTGTTTTGAGGTTATGTAATCAGAAACCACTATTTACTCTTTGATTCCCGACCTTGGTACCGTGAAGTGCTGAAGAACTTGAAAGGGACAGCTGTGTGTATGGTGAAGTGCATGGGCTCTGAAATCAGACAGTCCAGATTTAAATTCCAGCTCCAACACTTAGTAGCTATGGGACACTCAGAAGCTACTTTCTCTCCAAGCTCAGCCTCCTCATCTGTAAAATGGGATAATAATAGGACCTACCTCAAAAAATAGGAAATTAAATGAAGGATAGCATGTAAAACACTTTAGCAGAGTGCCTATTTCACTGCAGTAAACATCGGTCGCTGTTAATAGTTTTGGAACCCTGGTGACACAGTAGTTAAGAGCTTGGCTGCTAACCAAAAGGCTGGCAAGCTCTAATCCACCAGCCGCTCCTTGGAAACCCTATGGGGCAGTTCTACTCTGTCCTATAGAGTCACTATGAGTTGGAATCGACTTAATGGCAATGAGTTTTGGATTTTGGTTTATTAATAGTTCTTAATTTTCTTTAGGGCAGTGTTGTATTTGCGTTTGTGCAATGAAAGAACAGCTACACATGGAAAGACAGAATGGTTGGTTGTGGCCACAGGTACAAGGAACAGCAGAGATGACAAGGTGACAGATACAGAGTCTACTGTAATAAGGAGGATCTAGTAAAATAGGTCTCTAGGATGACAATTGGTCTTAATAGATCCTGGGCGAATTCAGGGGACCTCATCCACACAGCAAGTCCCAGCCCCTGTCACAAGCCAGACTTGGCTGTAAGAATTTAGAGGGCTAGGAAATTCTTCTGAGTGCCTTGTCTCTCTCACGTGTGCTTAGCTATTTGTTAATGTAATCTGATCTACAGTTAGCCCTGGAACTATTAAATTTCGATAGCATCAAAGAGCAGAGCCTGGTGCTTCACTGCTATTTTTTAAAAAAATTTTTTTAATTGAATTTTAGATGAAGGTTTACAGAACAAATAGTTTCTCATTAAACAGTCAGTACACATATTGTTTTATGACATTGGTTAACAACCCCACAACATGTCAACACTCTCCCTTCTGAACCTTGGAGGACCGCTTCCCTGGTGATTTTTAAGAATTGGCTAAATGGATCGTTGTATGTTATATTGGCACTGAATTGTACCATTGAAATTTTATTTCTGATTGATCTCTCCGTAATTGTAACCTAAAACTGTAAACACTGGGGATGGACAGAGATCCCTGAGACTAGAGTTTTACCACTAGAGTCTTGGACTTTTAACTATGGACTATTCACTTGATGTGTATCATGCAACAAAATTTTAACTTCACATTGCTTTTCTCCTATACTTAGCATGCTTCTGAAGAGCCTGTCTTGTCCATTGGTCAGATTGTGTTCATTAACTGCAAACTAATTTGAACACTTATATAAGCTAAGCATGATAAAGGAAAATTGTGGTAAAAAGAAAAAAAAAGATGATTTTACAAATTTTATTCCCCTTTGTTAGCATAATTAATTGAGTTGATAGCAAGTTGTAGTATTACACTATGTATGCACATATATGGTGAAAATACACATTTTCACCTATATATAGATGTATATAATTTACGTATAATGTAGATGAATATTTCAATATAAAACATTGTTATTGGGTAGATGATTTTTAGTAATTAAAAAAATTCTTAGTATCATAATATTCTAGTGTCTTCACCTTCAAATATGAGTGGGAAAAGGAACAGGAAGTAGCAGAGGTTTGGTTGAATATTTGATAAATTTGGAGACCCTTGCTCCTTGAAGAGGATTCCCAGTGGTCCAAGTTGTGGCTTTTGTGGTCATTGTGCCTTCTCTATTGAGTGTATGGAATAGATATGTGGTTGGAGCTACATATGTTCCCATTTCTGGGCTGGCACAAGAGAAGACATGGGGACAAAGGAGAAAAAAAGGCTTGCACTGATCCTTGATGGTGGTAACCAGCAGCTACGTTGAGTTGTGTGGGTTTGGTTATAATTTTGGATGTCCTCTGTGTAAAGTTTACAACATCGCTAGCAAGTTGGTGGTTAGGTTACTGTGTTTTCTCTAGACCTGACTGCACTCCCTAATGCTGTAATGGCAGTGAGGTAGTTATCACAGCTACCTGTCTTAGTTACATAGTGCTGCCGTAGTACAAATACCACGAGTTGGTGGCTATAAAGATCAGAAATTTATTTTCTCACAGTTCAGGAGGCTAGAAGCCCAAATTCAGATTATGGCTCCAAGCAGAAGTCTTTGTTTATTCCAGCTTCTACTAGTCAGAAATCCTTGAAGTTCCTGAGTTTGTAGGTTCATCTACTGCCTTTGTCATCCAATAGCTTCTGTCTTCATTCAGTATGTTCCTGCCTGTGTCTAATCTACTCTTTTTATAGCTCAGAAATGATAAGATTTAGCACACATGCTACCCTGATATGGTCCCATAAACGTAACAAAGAAAACACTGTTCCCAAAATGGATCACATCCACATATGCAGGGGTTAGGATTCCAACACATATTTTGAGGGGACACAATTCAATCCATAACATATCCCAACAAGACCCTAAGAAGTATGGTTCTTGTTATGGATGGTACATTTTAAGTATTGATTAGATAGCTTCTTTCACTTAATTTTCTTTCAGACCATGTGACTTTATAGGTCTGTGACTGGGGTAACGTTCATAAAATACATTTAATCTCAGAAGACAGCAGAAGTCAAGACTTTACTGTCTATGTGCGATATTCCTGTGAAAACATGGGGAGAGTTATGAATCCATGAGTTTCGTTTTATTTTAGGGAAACTGCTTGACCTCCTTCCGTTGCACCAAGTTTCCTCTCTGACTTTCAACAGGGCTGCTCATTTTCCTGGCCGGTGTTTCATTCCCAAACAATTGACAATTGGCTGTGCTTCATTCATTTGTTGACCACTTCTAAGTGGACCATCTTTTGTTTTGTTTTGTTGGCAACCTTACCACATCCTGTGGGATAGGAAGTTGTAAAAAATTACGATTATCTTCATTTCCTCCATTTGGCTGCTTTCTGTGTGGTTTGAGATGCCTGGCTGATCTTAGATCAACTGAGAATAAGAGGAAAGATAAGAACCCAGGCATTCTAGCTCCTGGCTGTGGATCTCTCCACTAGAGTGTGCTGCCCACTAAAGAATCTTTGATCACTGACCAAGAAAAACGGGGGGCGGGGGAGTTGGTGATAGGCAGGGTTGTGGCAGAAAACTTCTCACTGACCCTCAGGGACAAAGAAAAAAAAATCTGCACATACAGTATATTTTGGTCCTTGCATTTCTCTTCACCAAAGCAAGTTTTGTCTTTGTTTAGCAAATGTCTTGATAGAAGGCAGGTTCTTTGGACAGCTCCTGGGCAGAGCTTAGGATTTAGGGTTTTAAATCAGTGGCTGGCTGCTTTACCTGGGGCATGGCATCATAATTGCTCCATGCCTCAATGGCTTCATCTGTAGAATGAGGCTAAAGATATTTACTTGTCACTTGAAATTATGGCACAAAACACCTAAACATCTTCAAGTGTAATTAGCGTGCCATGTAGCTTTACTAAAAATTTTCCCAACCGACTGTTTGTCTTGAATGTTTCTTTTTACCCAGAAGATCAACAACATTGCGTGACTTGAATTCAAGTATACATGTCATAACCTTTCTCAAAGGGTCTTGTTCCACCTCCTTATACTAGATTTTGTGGGATGACTGAGATCCAACTATAATATGACATATATGATATATTGTTCCCATGATTAAAATTTAATACTATTTAAGCAATTGTTATTCATGGGATAATATTAACTTCACTCATCTAAAAATATCTCTTAAGGTGAATGGTTCAGGTTACCTTTCTAAAGCCATTGAGAATTCTGCCCCAGGAGCTTACTTATAAAACAGACCACACATAAAGTAAAGAACTGATATGCTATAAAATGTGTTTGGACCCACCCATTGCAGTATTTGATGTGATAAACTATTATGAGCAGCCGTTCCAAACTGTAACATCTATGCCGTGCTTGGGCATGAGTATGACTGTAATACAAGTGTTCCTTTATGTTTTCAGAGTTGGGAGCAACATCAAGTGAGCCCATTTTTCCGTTTACACGATTCGATTCCCTGGCAGCTCACGTCTCTTCCTCACAGAACCGGCTCCCCATTGCCTCTTTTCCTGCTGTGTTTTTGCAGGGATGTTTCAGTTCATGGTGAACTATTTTTATTTTTTAGTTACATTAACGCTATGAAATAATTAGTCAGCTAATTAATCTGGTTTACAAGCTTTGTCGGATTCTTCAGCTGTCAGTCAGGCCCAGGCCTGAGGCCTACATTTAGTTTCAGCTCTCTTGCCCATGTGATTCCCGTTGCCATGGCTACTGGCTACATCTGCTGACACCCCACTCTCTATTTATTGCTTAATTAAGAATTTCACGCTCAGCCCTTATCTGCCTCTAAGAACAAGCACACACTGTTAAGAAATTCCAAATTTAGGACCAGGCACAAGGACAGCCTTTCTTAGAGGCCGGGCTGTATGGAGCCTCTCTAACGATCTCTCAGCATCCCAGCCGCCACCCTTCAATCAAAAATCATTAAATGGGGCAGAGATAATGAGCATGTAGCATATCAAAAGAAGGATGTTTGCTTGGTCCAAAGGAGGAAAAGCTGCTAGGCCCCACGCTCAGTTCCACTTCAAAGGGAGATGAGACCCCTCATCACTGGGCTTGATAAAGCCTCATTTGTTCTGGGCTTGACTTATGCAAAAGGTCTGGTATGTCAGAGTCCCATCTCACAGACGTGGGTCCCCCACCTCCTGCCTCCACCGACACCAGCCCCCGCCCTGGCCTTCCGCACACTCGTGTGTCAGCACTTAGGCAGCTGGGTCTCCCAAAGCATCAGGTGGAGCGTATAATCACTGACCCTCCTCTCACAATGGCCACTTGTAGGGGGGTGGCCAGGAGGTGGTCTTCATCACAATAGGAACACAAT